TAGCGGCTCAGCATGGTTCAACAGGTGTTGTTCAGTCACTGGCTTGGTCGACGTCAGGCTGAGGTCGAGCGATCGACCCAAACCCTCATGCACCAGCACTCACACCAAAGGGTGCGAGTGTGTGCGCCCTGGCCCTCACGCCCTGCCTCGGCCGCGCCTCGGCCACCGCAGCCCTGCCGTGGCGGCCGCAGGGAGTAGCATCGTCTTCTTAGCCTTGGTAGCCTTGAGCGGCGTCTCCGTGTGCGGCCCGCCGCCGCGGGCAGCAGCGCCCACCGCAAGCACGCGACGCACATCCACTTGAGTACCCGAGGAAGATGGGTGGTCGAGAGGTGCCAGCGAGTACCTCAAGTGGACAGCATCGCGACGCTGCGAGCGCGCTCACTGCGGCGGCCGCAGGAAGCAGCAACGTCGTCGTAGCCTTGGTAGCCTTGAGCGGCGTTTTCGCGTGCGGCCCGCCGCCGCGCGCAGCAGCGCCCACCGCAAGCGCGCGACGCACATCCACTTGAGGACCCGAGCGAGACGGGTGGTCGAGAGGTGCCTGCGAGTACCTCGAGTGGACAGCATCGCGCCGCTGCGAGCGCGCACACTGCGGTGGCCGCAGGAAGCAGCATCGTCGTCGTAGCCTTGGTAGCCTTGAGCGGCGTCTCCGCGTGCTGCTCGCCACCGCGCGAAACAGCGCCCGTCACAGCACGTGATAGAAGCAATACAGGGGATCGCGGGCAATAAGTACGGCGCTTTTTGAGGCCGAGGCTGAGTTTCTTAGCAAATTACATACAAACAATTGTTAAAATTTGATTAAAATTACTATTGAAGGGCAAAAAAACGAGGCTCAGTTTCTGAACACGACGGTTTCTTGTTGCCCGCGATCCCTGTAGCATGGTGGCGAAGAGCAACATCATGGTGGCGAGCCAGGCAGCGCCACCCTCGGGGGGCGACTCAGGCTCGCGCACTCCGCCGAGCTATTAGAGTTGGCTGACGTCGAACAAGTCAGTGAATGAAGTCACTTCCTCCCTGGTGTACACTCCATTTCCATCTCCTGCTACGATGCGTACAATACCAGGGCCTGTTGACTCTCTGCTTCCATAGGGAAGTTTTCAGTGCTGTGAATGAATTTACGCATATTTTCGGCCCTTTTTTTCTTAGATTTTGTGTAGCATTTGTCATGGCACACTTTGCTGGGTTTTGGAATATAAGATCCCTCGTAGCTTATTTTCATGGCGAGCCTAGCAGCGGCTGCGATTTGCCTTTTACGTCGAGCTACTGCTATAAAGCTTAGGGCTTTTCGATTTTTTAAATGAGCGTCTAAAATATCGTTCGTGCTTTTGCGCGGGCGTGGGAGCGGATCTTTTCTTGTTCCATTTTGGCGTTATAAGTACTGAAAGTGATATATTTCGTTCTGCATATGCTGGTCACGGACAGCGCCGCAGCTAAGCTCAGCCAGTTGAATGAAAATGAGTAGACTAAATTAAGATAGATATGACTATTACAAGAAACGACGGCGTTGAGATACGCGGGCGGAATAAATAATATACTATTAATTGGGGATATGATCTCCTTGTCTAGGGGTCAGACAGCTGCTAGTGCAGCTATGACCAAGATCAGCCGTTTTGCGATGCCAACGGTGCAACCAACTTTTTCTCCCTCCACTCCCATACTCAATCCAGCCACTAAAAAGCAGGAAGCCAGTAAGCTGAACATGGTGACAAGAGCTTCAAGAAGAGCTGTCACCCATGCGGGAGTGTGTAAGTTTCTAGTTAAACGTCCGTCCCCGAGAGGATCTCACTGGATTTAAGTGTTGAAAAACACTCAGATCCAGGGATCCGCACACGGATACTGTCCCCACCGCTGATCAGTTCAGACACACGACGATCGACGACTGACGACTCCCGACTGGCGCGCTGACCGACCTCCACTGCTCTCCCTCGCGTCGTCTGAAATGCAGCACCCGCCCGTGGTGAACAAATCGTTGAGCACGTAGTCCCCGCCTGGCAGCGGGGTCCCACTTGGTCAGCGGGGAGAATCGGGTCCGTCGTACGCCCGGCGCGGTGCTGCATACCGCCCCTGCGACGCCCCGAAGATCCCTCAGTAGGCTGAATTCCCCGCTCTACAGCTGGGTCCGCAGCCCGCCTGAGACGAGGGACAGCGGGGGGCAATGCCAAGTGCCCCCCTTCCGCGTTCTCGCAACGCGGCGTTGCGCCTGCAGCGGCGCTACCGCGCCTCACGGCGCGGCCTGCTCCAGCTAGCGTTTCGAGCCGCCTTTCGATCCGCCGACGATGCATCGTGCAGCCATCGCTTCGGTTGCGTCCGAGAGCGACTCGTCGATATCCTCCTCCGGGGTTGGCCGGGTCAGCCTCATCCTTGAGGGCGGCGATTGCCTTGCGGTCGTCCCGTGGTGTGGACCTTGCCGTGGCCTGGAATGAAGAAGAAATCATCTCTCTTGTGCTTGCCTCAATTGCGCCAGGGGTCGCCTCATCGTCAGATTTTCTGCCAGTTTTCAAGATGCCTTCATTGGCAGATGCCTGGTCATGGTTGGACTCAGACAGTGTTGCTAGGTCATTGAATCTGCTGTTACTCCACGGGCGCATGTTGGCTGTCACGGGTTTTGGTAGTGTCGGGTTGAAAGTCCGGGTACTATAACTATAGCTATAGTTATAGCTAGTGTATAGCTATGGCTATAGCTACAGCCGCACTTTTGGTCTCGAGTTGACGAAGTCTGACAGTGACTGTTCCTAGGGATTATGTTGCCTGGATCTGATGCGCTAATGTCCATATACGGGCGCTCTTTTCTGGCTTCAATGGTCCACTCAGGTTCCACCTCTGTCATCTGGGACGCGTGGCCATCCACTTTTGGTGGCAGATTCGTACCCAGTACGCTATTCGCGTGTAGAGATGCGTCAGTATTGGTTCGTGGCTGTGGGACACAAAAATTTGAGCTATACGCGAATCGAGATGCGTGCGCACGGGTTCGTGGCGGCAGATCACCGGTCCGATCGCTAGACGCAAGTCTGGACGCGTGAGTGAGCATAGGTGCATGGTGACAGGGCACCGGTCCGAGCGCTAGGCGCGTGTCGAGATGCTTGATCATATTTTTGTGGCGGCAGAGCACCGGTCCGTGCGCTAGGCGCAAGTCGAGATGAGCGAGCATAGGTTCGAGGCGGCGGCGTACGTTCGTGATGGCGGATCCCCGGTCCGAGCGCTAGGCGTGTGTCGATCTGCGTGAGCATCGTTTCGTACGCTAGGCGCGTGTCGAGATGGGTGAGCATCGTTTCGTGCGCTAGGCGCGTGTCGAGATGGGTGAGCATCGTTTCTTGCGCTAGGCGCGTGTCGAGATGCGCGAGCATCGTTTAGTGGTTCCTGCTCTAGGCATGTTTCATCGTATCTTGGTTTCTGCGCCAGGCGCGTTTCATATAGAGGTGCGTGAACAACGATCGGAACGAGCCGAAGCTCGCCCTGCGAAACGCACACGTTGGAGACGAAGGCCATGGCCGTTTCAAGATAATAAAAATTGAGTGCTCGAGAACGTAAATAAATTAAATACATAAATGAACATACAAAAAATGTTAATATTTTAAAGTTTTGAGAACCCGGCCGTCTACGCCGCGGGGATTCGGATCCCAGCCGCCCGGAGGTGGTACCGCTGGTGTGTAGGTGGGTCTGGTGCTTGCCGGGGGTGCTCCCCGAGCGCGCTGCGCCATGTCGCCTTTGAGGCGCGCAGGTGCGGCCGTCGCGCCCTCGTTCGCCAGAGGCGGGGTGCTATGAGGCGGGTCTTCAGCGGAAAAGGGCACACGACTCGCCTATGAGGCGTGCGACGGCCTTTAGGGCCGGGCCCGGGCCTTCAGGGAGACAATTTTTTATGGTCAATATGAAATTTTACAAAGTACCATCAAATATATATTTTTTAATAATTCAGGTATGCTCATGCCCGGTAGCTAAACGGATACCACTCCCGGTCCACAATCCGTGAGTCTGTGGTACGAGTCGGCTGTTTGGCCGAGTGGTCTAAGGCGGTCGGTCCAGGTCCGATTCTCGTAAGAGGCGTAGGTTCAAGTCCTGCAGCAGTCAATTTTTTTCTTGCTTTAGTCGAGCCATTGAGCCAAGCCCCCATCTACCCCGCACCCCGCGTGTTCTTCATTTCGCTCTCGCCGCTGCTGCTGCAAAGTTCTACGCCAGAGCACATCACCACTCACTTTCGAGGAACCCAATTTCGCACACACAGACCTATTGAAGTATAGGATGTTGAGAAAAGAAAGGTTGTTCAGTTAAGGGGAGGTTAATGAGTCGCCCTGTCCGGCCGGCTAGAGACCCCTAGTTTTCTTGCTTTAGTCGAGCCATTGAGCCAAGCCCCCATCTACCCCGCACCCCGCGTGTTCTTCATTTCGCTCTCGCCGCTGCTGCTGCAAAGTTCTACGCCAGAGCACATCACCACTCACTTTCGAGGAACCCAATTTCGCACACACAGACCTATTGAAGTATAGGATGTTGAGAAAAGAAAGGTTGTTCAGTTAAGGGGAGGTTAATGAGTCGCCCTGTCCGGCCGGCTAGAGACCCCTAGTTGGGAATCGTGGCCATAGCAACCGCCCTCGTGAAATGGAGCAGGCTCGGCGAGCTGCGTACAGTGCACGTCATTCTAATGTTATTACATAGTTAATACGGAAAGCTTCGAAATAAAAAAGCAAGAAGAAGTATTGACTGCTGCAGGACTTGAACCTACGCCTCTTACGAGAATCGGACCTGGACCGACCGCCTTAGACCACTCGGCCAAACAGCCCTTTCGATGGTATACGCATACAAATCCAGACTACTTACATAAAGTCATTCGCAGCCCTTCACGGGTGGCGGGAGCCAGTGGCGTGCAGAGTGGACGGCGGGCTCAAAGCCAGTGGCGGACGACCTGCTCATTGCGGCACGGCGACGGAGGCCACTCTCGTTGAGTGGCGTGGCAACAACTTGGACGTGCTCGCGTCGCTGGCGAGACGGCCTTGTGTCGTCAACAGCCCGAGGGCGGCGCCGCGCTGTTGCGCGGCGGGGTCGCAGGCATGCGATGGTCGGCGACGCCCACCTTCGTGGTGGCGGGGCCAATTGCCCGCCGGGGACGAGCAGGGTGGGATGCGGGCACTGGCATGGACCCTGACGCATGGCCACCGCTGGAACCCTGCTGGTGTTCACCCTATCGGGCCAGACGCGCCCATGCGCTCGCTCTCGCAGCTCAACGCGCTGTTGCGCGAGTACGGCGCACCCGCCGCGGGCGAGGACGACTTCACGCAGGGCAGCGCCGCCAAGATGCCGTCCAATCGTCGACTCTCGCCGACAGTGGCCTGCATACATTGGGCTGCGACACGGCGCGCACGACGCCGACGTCATTTCCTCGAGCTCATCGAGCGCCTCGATGACTTTCGCGGCTTCCTCGGCTCCACGTGAGCACCTTGCTCACATTGAGGCGCTCAACTTCGTAATGGGTAACAAGGAGGCCGCCACGACAAACTCGTCAACCGCCAGCGCGGGCGCGCCGAGCTCGGGGCACGGCTCGATGGGAAGTGGTTACGCCGCGCTCAGACCAGCACAACTTCGGCAGGACAGTCAGACGTTGCCAGCCGTGAACATTTAATTTTTCAGTGGATCTCTTGTTAACTAGAACTATATCTCATCGAGAGACAGACAAAATTGGGCTGGAGCGCCGAGCGCTCGCGTGTGATGTGATTCATGATCGCGCTGCGCTGACAGGGACTTTTCGCGCTTCCGGCTTCACAAATCACAGCCGACAGCGACGTTAAATCCTGCTCGTCTCCACTATTCAGACTACGAGTCTGACGCGATCTTAGATCACTAGGCGGTACTTCCTGAAGAACTTTATATCCGGTCAGATTTCAGGCAGTTACAAGATTTAATATATTAGATTAGAGGCGCCTCGAGGTCCGCATCAGTCGGCTGCCCGCCGCAGTTGGTGCGAGTTTGGGCAGCAGGCGTCATTTCGGGCCTCGACGGTGCACCTTCTCAGCCTCAGTCGAGCGAGCTGCCTTGGGCGGCGGGAGGCGCGGCGGTCGGACTGCTGCCCGCCTCCTCTTCCTCCTCCTCGGCGCATCACTCTCAGCCGCCGCCCTGCGCGCGCAGCCTGGCCAGCCGCTCGCGCTTTCCCTCGACGCCGGGCGACAGTGGCCTGAAGCGCTCGAAGTCGATGTCGTGTGTGTAGGAGAGGCAGACCTAGCTCACATTCGCATGCCGGGGGATGGGGAAGAAGGGGGGGGGCAGCGGTTGGGGCAGCGCACAGGTGGCAAGTGCGCGAGGGGGGCATGCTACTATGATTATCGTCAATATAATTAGTACGATTATTATCATTAATCTTATTAATATTATTATCATTAACAATAACAAGAACAGCAACAAGAACAGCTACAGCAACTACCACACCAATCTGTAACGCATAAGAGTAATCTGTAACGCATAAGAGTGGCAGTTACACCAATCTGTAACGCATAAGAGTGCCACCTCGTCTGGAGGCTCGCGCAGGTGCGCGGCTCCTTCTTCGTCTGCCTCGTTTGCGCGGTAGGAGGAGGAGCGCGCCCAGAGCACCAGCGACACACGCTCGCCGTGCGTGATCGAGTCCGCGCCGTGCCGCTGCCGTCCGAGGTGCAGCACAGCGTGGCCGGGCTGGTGCGCGTACCTGCGGCCGGGGGAGGGGGGAGAGAGAGAGGTGGGGGGGGGGAAGGGGGGGTGTGTATGAGTGTGTATGTGTGTGTGTGTGTGTGGAGAAATATATTAAAGCGACTTTATGCCAACGCGCAGCAGAGGAGGCGTACTAGGATATCAGAAGTGGACGCAATAGGATATCATAAGTGCGGTGCTGCAACAGGTCAGAGAATCAAAGAGTCACACAGTCGGAGAGTCAGAGAGACAGTCAGTCAGACTGTCAGTTAGACAGACAATCAGACAGTTAGACAGATCGGCGAGGCGAGGAAGCGGGCACGCACGTCACAGAGTGCCTGCGGTACTCCTTGCTGCCGTAGAGACCGCAGAAGGTGAGCCCCGCGCCCTCGAAGTGCCGTCCGAGACACACGTTGAGCGTCACCTCGCTGTCGTCGTGGTGCATGTCGAGTCTCCTGTCGCCCGCCTGCGCGTAGCGCACGGAGAAGGCGTGGTGGTGATCGAGCGCGTGCTGCCGTGCAGCCGGGTAGAGCGCCTCCGCGAGCGGTGCGAGCACGCGTTGTCGCAGCTCGTCGAAGAGCCGCTCCAAGCCGATCTCGTCGACCAACACGCCGTACCTGTGCGGAATGCAGTGCGCAGTGCACGTGTAGGCGGTGGACGGGGCGGCCACACGGGGAGTTGTGTATAGGTGTAGGTGTAGGTGTGTGTGGGGGGGGGGAGCACCTGTTCATCGAGTTTGGACGTGCGGCGGGCAGTCCGCTCGCCTCGAAGTGCGCGAGCTCGGCAAGGAGCAGCGCGCACAGCTGCGGCGAGAAGAGCTCGAGTGAGAAGATTCCCGGCGCCAGCTCTTGCGTCACTGAGCGGATGGCTGCCTCGGAGCGCGTGTCGAGAGCGGCGAGCAGCTCGGGCTTCAACCAGCCGGGCAGGAGCGCAGGCGGCTGTGCGAAGAGCTGTGCGTGCAGCCGCAGAGGCCGGTAAGCATTGATCTTCTGCGTGCGCAGCCGCTGTGTCTCGCCCAAGCGCTCGATCGCGCGCTGGCTCGGCTGCGTGCCACCCGGCAAGGGGCCCAGCAGCAGTGCGTGCGCGAGCGCGATCACCGTGCGCACGTGCCGCGCGGGCTTGTGCTCCCAGCCGAGACAGGCGTAGAATCCGTCGTCCAGCAGCCCGCCCTCGAGAATCTGCGAGTGATAGACGTGCGAGGCGTAGCGCACCTTCGGCGGCTCACTCGGGTAGGTGGGTGGGAAGTACAGGTGCACCCGTAGGGTTACGCCTGCGAAGGGCGTGCCCCGCGGGCCTTCGAGCGTGACAAAAACCTCGGCGGCGTAGGGGCGCGTCAGGTCACGCTCGGGTCTCCACTCGACGAGCGAATGCAGGTAGCCCGGCCGCGCGCCTTCGGCGAGGAGCTCAGAAACGTGCGCGCGCGCCAATGGCGCAGGGAGACCGATGATCGTGATCGAGAGCGCGACCCGGCTCGTCGGTGCGCCCGCCTCATCGAGCAGCGGGCGGATCGCACACGCGAGCATCTCGAGCAGCGTGCAGGTCAGCAGTGCGGAGAGGGCAGGGCGTGTGCGATCAGCTCGGCGGTCTGTCCGTCGGCGGCCGCCCCTCGTGCGTCTGCCTGTTCGCCCACACCAAAGCTGCCGTCACCTTTTAAAATCGGGCGGGTTCATCGGCGCCTTGAGAGTTGAAGTTGAGCATCCGAGCCGAATGGGCTGAGCAAGCGTGCGGCGAATGGGCATCCCGAGGCGGCGCGGCCGCCTACATCACCTCCCGCGCAGCTCCCTCGCGGCGGTGACGGCCGTGGGCCGCGTGGCTGGGCCTTTCAGTTTCCATCATTGGTTTCGGTATGCTGTTGGCGTTGCGGAATGAATGCATGGCTTTGGTTTCGAGGGTGCTGCAGGCTTGGGCGGCAGTGACGTGCGGGCGGCCGCGACAGCGATGTGGGGTAGCGACAACGGCGGTGATGGCAACGGTGGCAAGGACTTTGGGCGTGTTCGGCAACTCAGTCATCAGTCACTTGACGATATAATTTTTGTCAGCGGATGGCCCTTCATCAGCGGATGAGGCATGACCTGCTGACACGGCAGATGCACTCCTCTCGTTATGAACCGAAGACGAAGGAGTCTCGAGCGGAATAAATTATTAATAATTATCACATATTCGCTACGCATATAGTACTTAGTTAGTTGGAATATAAGTAGTTACAGGTTGAGTGTGATTTGTGGTTGGGCTATATAAAATACTATCCTTTCTCACAGCACCGCGAGCCCGGCACTAGCGCTGCGGGTGCTCGCCCTTTCTAGCCGCCTGGTCGAGGATGTGCAGCTGACCGGCGCGCGGCTCCGGCGAGCAGCCGCGGTCACCGCCTGCGGCCCGAGCGGCCGACCACAGACCAGAGACCAATCACGATCAGCAGCACGATGAACGCCTTGATAATCAGCCCACGGTTGCCCTGGATCGCGCGGTAGTATTTGTGCAACTGCGCCTGCGCAGAGTCCATGGAGGCCGTCGTGTCGTCTAGGTCTGCGTCGATGCGCGTGACCAGCTCGGCCTGCTGTGCCACGAGCCCCGACAGCTTTTGAAACATGCCGCCCAGCTCCTGCGGATAGCGCGCGAGGGCGGAAGCGCAGAGTGTGAGCGTCGTGCGAAGGGGCGCGCGGGCGGCTCGTGCGCGCGCGAGGCGGGTCGCCCGACGCGGCTGGGGGCGCGTGCGTACCGCGAGCGTCGACTGCATCGTCGACACCGCCGCCTCGCGCTCGCGCAGCGAGCGCGGTGCCCAGTAGGTCTGCTGGTGCTGATCTCCACCCCCGCCGTCGCCATCGCCCATCTCGAGCGCCACACTCCCGCCGCCCGCCTCCATGTCCGCGTCCGCGTGGCCGTTGCGCACGGGCCCCTTGCTGCGCGCGGCGGCAGACCTGCGGTGCAGCGCGGACGAGGTGGCGAGCGGGAGCGAGGGCGTCTGCGCCACGCTCGCTAGCCGCGCGGCACGCTGCTCGCGCGCCGAGAGCGACGCCTCGCGCTGCGCCAGCGCCTGCTGGAAGGCGGTGGTGGCGGCCGAGAGCGAAGAGCGCAACGAGGCCGCTACCCCGTCGCGGTGCAGCAGCAGCTGCCGTCCGTCGAGTGGCGCGC